TAAACAAATTTACAAAGATTGTTTTGATTTTGAGATAGTCAATCAGAATGAAAAATGGGTTCTACAGTTCCTGCTACACAATGTTAACTCGTTGGAATGATACGAAAGAGGATAAACACCTGAAGTTTAAAAAACCAACATTGTTGAAAAAACCATTGAATCGAGAAGATTTCTACTTTTGCATGACCAATGTAAAGGGCTATAATAAGAATAATAAAAAGAATATAATTTATGCATGTGTAGTATCTGTGACAAAACCCAAAATTTTAAGTCATTTAACTCTTTCTTCTGCAAATATGGAAATCGACAGTTCACCATTAGAGTATGTACTTTCCGATATAAGTGATGAGATTAGTAATATTGTAGATGACAATGATGATATTTATATTCCAGATGGTTATCAGGAAGGAAAGGTTAAAAAAAGGCTTTACGCAAGAAGAGCTTAGCAACCTCATCAGAGATTTGAAATTACCCAAAGATGAAGCAGAATATCTAGCTTCAGTTTTCAAAAAGAAAAATTTGTTATCTAAAGGCACCACAGCTTACTTTTATCGTGACAGAGAAAAGGAATTTCGGAAATATTTTACAAAAGAGGATGAGCTTTCATTAGTATATTGTTCTGACATTGAAGGACTAATAAATGAATTGAAACCAAACGTATATGAAGACCAACATAAGACTAGAGGTTATTCATTGACTCTTCTAAAAGAAGTCTAAAGGCAGTGCTAATTCATAACACTAATGTTTTTGCTTCAATTCCCGTAGCCCATTTCACTGAACTTAAAGAAGATTATGAAACTGTCAAATTAGTTTTGGAGAAAATTAAATATAAAGAACACAATTGGCAAATTTGTGGAGATTTTAAAATTATAAGTATCATGTTGAGCCAACAAGCAGGTTTTATGAAAACACATTGCTTTTTATGTTTGTGGGACAGTAGAGATCGAAAAAAACATTACGTACAAAAAGAATGGCCCAAAAGAACATCCTTTACACTAGGTTCCAAAAATATTATAAAAAACCTCTAGTTGAACCTACAAAGATAATTCCAACACCTTTACATATTAAACTAGGGGTAATGAAACAGTTTGTAAAGTCTTTAGATAAAGAAGGGAAATGTTTCAAGTACCTGGAACAAAAATTTTCAGAGATATCTGATGCTAAATTAAAGGAAGGAATTTTTGTTGGGCCTCAAATTCGCAAACTAATAAAAGATGAAAAATTTATCACAGTAATGAGTAAAAAGGAGAAAGCTGCATGTCTTAGTTTTAAGGGAGTTATTGAAAACTTTCTTGGCAGCCATAAGAGCGAGAATTGGGAACTAATAGGGAATGGTATGATCAACAACTTTCAAAAATTGGGATGCTTGATGAGTTTTAAGCTCCATTTCCTACATTCACATCTAAGTTACTTTCCCAAAAATTTAAGAGACTACAGCGAGGAACAGGGAGAACGGTTTCATTAAGATATTAATGAAATGGAGAGTAGATATCAAGGCAGATGGGACGTAATTATGATGGCTGACTATTGTTGGATGCTAAAAAGGGATATTGTTCCAGGAAGAGTAAACTTAAAAAGAAAACCACTGCACAGGTCTTTCGAAGACAAACGAGTCCGTTACCATAAACAGACATAAATAAAAATTACATTATTTTCAAACAGACATATTGATTTTTCAAAATCTAATTGAAGATTTGTTATCAGTGATCCGAAAAACCACTGAGTACCCATTTTTAAGTAAAATAAATCAATTTTCAAAAAAATGACCGCCATATTGAATTTTTAAAATCTGACTGCAAATCTGTAATCAGCGACCCCGAAAACCCCTATATACCAAGTAAAGTGAAAACCCAACAAATTTTTAAAATTTGGCCGCCATATTGGATCCGCCATTTTCAATTTTTAAAAACTGACTGCAGATTCGTAATCAGCGATCTTAAAAACCCCCGAGAAACAAGTTTGAGACAAATCTAATCAATTTTTGAAAAATTTTGTATTTTACATAAATTACATAAAATCTGACATGTTTTTTAACCCGTTGCCTGTTTGCGACCCAACGTTGGGTCGTGAAAAAAGATGGCCCAGACTGTTTCCGACCCAACGTTGGGTCGTGAAAGTTTTAGCAAAAAATAGAAATTTTGTATTTAAATTATAAAATAAATTCTTTTATATCATTATTCACATACTATAGGTATCAATGATACCAGAAAAAGTAATAAATAAATAATTGTTTATTATTTTTAAGTAATATAACAATTTAAAAGATTTTGATGGACATTTTGGGTCACCAAAATGAATATTTTTCCAAACAGCGAAGGGGTTAAGGTTAGAAAAAAATCCTGACGTGATGGAGCAAATCTGACTTCGGATTCGTGTTCAGCGCATCAAAATACATAGGGGTACGGTACTGTGAACTTTCGCGCAGGATACTTTTCTTTTTTTGTGGGGCTGTGTTATTGGTTGCAAAACTATCTTTTTTTCAAACATTAACTTCCGAAGTAGAACCTTTTTTACGAGAGTTCCAAACTGATTACCCTTTTTTAAGCTTTTAAATAAAAAGAATTATAGAGTTTACATTAAAAAACCGGACAAGTGCGAGTAGAACTCGTACTAAAACCGAGGGTTCCGTACCCACGTTTAAAACTTTTACTTTTTTGATGAAAAAATATAAAGATCAACTCCAATATTTTTCGCTGTATTTTTTCTGTAATCTACAGGTGAAAATAAATAAATAACCAATTTTCATCTCTTCAGATAAAAAACTGTGGGCGCTAGGGTAAAAAACACGCATTTCTGACGAAATTTTTAAAAACTTTGAGTTTTTCGCTAAAAAAAATATGAAGATAAAATCCAATCATGTTCGGTCTATTTTTCCTGAAATCTACACATGAAAATTCATAAAATAAGCAAAACTATAGTCCAATAGGCCAACAATTGTGAAAACCAAGGGGGGGGTACACACTTTTTTTTCTAAAACGAAAAAATTTTTAGTTTTTCGCAAAAAAAAATATGAAGATGAACTCCAATAATTTTTTCTGTATGTTTGTTGAAATCTACACGAAAAAATAAATAAAAATATATAACGCCAGTCCACTAGACTGAGAATTGAGGGAACTAGCATAGGTATAATTATTATCAAAAATTGAAAAAAAAATTTAGGTTTTCGCTCAAAACGGAATGAAGATCAATTCTAATCATTTCCACTATATTTTTCCTGTAATCTACACGTGAAAATACAAAATTGTACCAATTTTCAGCTCTTTAGGTAAAAAACTGTGAGTGCTAGGGTGATATACACGCTTTTTTGACGAAATTTTTAAAAACTTTGAGTTTTTCGCTGAAAATAATATGAAGATCAAATCCAATCATGTTCGCTATATTCTTCCTGGAATCTACACACGAAAATACATAAAATAAGCAAAACTGCAGTCCAATAGGCCAACAATTGTGAAAACCAAGGGGGGGTACACACTTTTTTTTTTAAAACGAAAAATTTTTTTAGTTTTTTGCAAAAAAAAATATGAAGATGAATTCCAATAATTTTTTCTGAATGTTTGTTGAAATCCACACGAAAAAATAAATAAAAATGTATAACGCCAGTCCACTAGATTAAGAATTGAGAGAACCAGCAAGGGTTAAAGAATTTTCGAGCTTGCAAAAAGAGATTTTAGTTTTTCGATGAAAACACCATGAAAATCAATTCTAATCACTTCCGCTATATTTTTCCTGTAATCTATGCGTAAAAACGAATAAGTATGCCAATTTTCAGCTCTCCAGGTAAAAAAATGTAGGCGCCAGGGGGGGGTACATGGATTTTTTTCGAAATTTTCAAAATTTTTGACTTTTTCGATAAAAACAGAATGAAGATCAATACCAAATGTGTTCGCTATATTTTTCCTTTAAACCATTTTTGAAAATACATATGCATACCAATTTTCAACTTTCTAGGTAAAAAACTGTGAGCGCTAGGGGGGGGGTGCATGCCTTTTTTGCGAAAAATGGCCAAAATTTAATGTTTTTCGTCGAAAACTCTATGAAAATCAATCTCAATCACGTTCGCTATATTTTTCCTGTAATCTACGCGTGAAAATACATACGTGTACGAAATTTTAGCTCTCTAGGTGTAAAATTGTGAGTGCTAGGGGGGGTACGTGGTCATTTTTGTAACCGTTCCAATAGGGTTCCTACCGGGGTACGGAACCCTAAAAATAACAAAGTTACAAGCTACTTTCTGCATGAATATCAAAAAACGGTTTTTAGCTCTAAAAAGAAATTTTGAGGTATTTGAGTGATTTAATATATACCATTCTCTTCAGTTTTTTAAGACAAATAAGTAAGGATAGGTCCGATTTAAAATAATTTTTTACTGTCACAGAATGTAACCGAAGTAGCTCAAAAATAGATATATTTTTAAGGTGACTTTCTTAGAAAATGCAGGTCGTCAAACTTAGACCAAAAAATTCAAAAAATTGTAAATAATTTTTTTGTTCTAAAAACTATTCTAGAAAATATATAAAACATGACATGGTATAAATTTTTTTCAGAATTGTATCATCTTTCAAAAAATAGAACGAAAAAATTTTAGTTTCCATAAATTTTATGTTTTGAAATGTTTTTCATTCACTTAAAAATGGATGATCTCTGAATTTTTACCGGTAGTGTAGAAAATTTTTTTTTCAGGTTTATCTAGAAAAAAACCCTTATGAAGAAAATCCTGCTTGAATTTTTAACCATTTGAAACATTTTTTATGAAAATTTGAACAGCAAGTTTAATGAAGCTAACATATTAATAATTTTGTATAGCATCCAGGTCCTCAATTATTATTTTCTAACCAGAAAGTCTCCTTACAAGCTACTTCGGTAATAATTATTACTTGCAAATAATAGTTTTGAATGACTTATTGTAATCTTGAATGAAATTTCAAAATAATTCGCTAATAATTATGATAAATATTTAATAAGTACAGAATAAAGGATAATAATTTTAATAAAATTCTTACTTGTCGATGCAAATTTTCTCCACTTGTGGTACAAGAACTTGTAACAATCGCATAATTGTTTGCAAAGGTAGCTTGTTTTTCCACTGGCAAACCCATTCAACAGAAGGTGCCCACTGATTAGCATCAGGAGTTATGTGCTCTCCGACTCTGATTCCTCCTCTCTGTAGACAAATGACACGTACTATGAATATTTTGTAAAAATTTTGTAATATAACTTTCGGAATACAAACTACAATTTATAACATACCGATACGATAGAATTTGCCCTGCCAATACTCGGTGATTCATCAGATAAATTTTCTGATTCTTTCGTATCAGCGTCTGTTAATTTAATGGCATCTGTCGAAAGACTTAAGGGATGTGCCGATTCTTTTTCTGTCATTTTTTCAATGCCTAAAACAGACAAATCTTTAGTAAATTCATAACGATTTAATAATTCTTTAAAAACCGTTCTTAAAAAGCACTACAAGTTAAAATTTTTTCCCTTAAAAACTTTTGGGGTCATAAATATTACTAATCCACCATTTTGAATTTCAAAATTTAAAATGGAGGAAACAATATTAGGGTTGTCATACAAATATTTTATTTTATTTTTCCCTGACTTATCCCTGATTTCCAGACAAAATTTTGACTTTTTCCCTAACCCTAAAGAATATTCTGATTTACTCTAAAAATTATTGGATACTCAAAAAAATTTTCTATTAAATTTATTTACAAATTTCTTTAATTGTAAAATTATTTAAAAACATCAATATTTATTTATTTATTTATTTACAACATAAGATCCCGCGATCCAAAGTGGATCATAAATGGGTAACGAGAAGTCGTACAATCAAATCGTAAATCTAATCGTAACTATATATATATATTTTTTTTTTAAAAAGATTAAACAATATAAGTATAAATATATGTATAAATTTTTCTTTTTCTTAGAAGATTAAACAACTTTAGATTTTGCGTAATTCTATGATTAATTTTAAATATAATACAAAAGTTTATTTGACCGTCGCATAACAATTAATCGTCTATGAGACCTTTAATGTAACAATCCATAGTACTTGTGAATTCTTTAATAGACGAAAAAAATAGGTCTAAGTCGGGTTTCATAGATAGATACATTTGGTTAATATGATTACAACTGAAAAAAATTGGAGATACAGTAGCAATTGTTGATGTTGGAGTTAAAAGGTAAAACGGTGCAAAGGTACGTGAAGCTAATCTGGGAATTTTTAAGTTAAGCATGGACAAAATTTGGGGAGCGTTTATCTGGGTAGAGAAAACTTTAAATATAAATATAGTTGCCATTAAGATTCTTTTTTCGGCGATGGAATGGAAATTGAATCGCTGACAAAGACATTTATCTTCTGAACCAGGAGCCGGATAGGAACCATCAGACTTATAGGCAAGGTATTTTAAGAATCTTTTTTGAACTTTCTCTAGATCGTCATTATATTTATCAAAGTATGGAATGGATATAAAACAAGCATAAGTCATACGGGAAACAACTAAAGAGTTATATAGCATTTTTAGGGTTAATGGGTTTGAAAAATACTTTGCAGACGCGAAGAGAATAGACAGTGCAATCATTGTTATTTTTTCATAGGAATTAAGAATTTCAAAAATTTCGATTAAGCCTTTTTAAAAAAAATTTGTTCCATAGAATTTTTAATTAAAAGTATGAAAAATTCAGATTTTCAAAGATTTAAATTTGAAACCTTTACAAAATACAATTATTTTTAAAAATTGCAAGTATTAGTAACTTCTTCAAAATTTTCAATTATTATCTAAAACTTTAACTGAAATTAATTTTTAAATCAATTTCTATTAGAAAATTCTACGAGAATTGAATTATTTAAATACAAGAATCAATAATTTATTGAATAATTCAATGTTTCTTAAAATTGAATTCTCATAAAGAATTTGAGTAACAAATCTTTAAATAATTCAATTCTTTCGGTGAATTTTAATAAAATTTTTAAGAATTTAATTACATTTTTCGAGAAAATCGATTAAAATTGTATTTGTAAAAATAATTGAAATTCTGCAGTGAGTTTTATTATTTATAAAAATAATTAAATTGCAAAGAATTTTATAAAAAATTTTCAAACAATTGATTTCTTTCGAAAAAAATTATGCAAATTCTATTTTTAATAATTGAATTCCTGTGAAATTTCCATTATTTTAGAAAATAATTTAATATTCGTGTAGAATTTTGTCAAAATTGTTTTTAAATAATTGAATTCTTTTTAAAAATTTTATTTAAATAATAAATATACAAATTATTGAAGTAAGAAAAATTTTTGAAAATAATTGAAATTTTGTCATAAATTTTATTAAAATTTTTAAAAATAATTGAATTTTATTAGTTTTGAAAATCATTGAATACGTGTGATGAATATTGTTATTTATGAAAATAATTGACTTCCACCAAATGATTTTATTATTAATGAAAATAATTAAATCGCTGAAAAGAATTTTAAAATTTATGAAAATAATTGAATTATTGCGAAGAATTTAATGCCAAATTTTAAAACATTTCAAATTTTTGAAAAAATTTACGCAAATTCTATTTTAAATAATTTGTATTCATGTGAAATTTTTATTTTTTTGGAAAATATTTTAATGTTTGTGTAGAATTTTATCAGAAATGTTTAATAATAATTCAATTCTTTTAGGAAATTTTATTAAAATAGAATAATGAAAATCATTTAATTAAGAAAAATTTTTGAAAATAATTGAAATTTTGCCATGAATTTTATTAAAAGTTTTGAAAATAATTGAATTTTATCACTTTTGAAAATAATTTAAAATTTGTGATGAATACTATTATTCATGAAAAATAATTGAATTTTACAATGAATTTTATTAAAATTCTTGAAAATAATTTAATTTCTGCGAAGAATTTTATTAAATTTGAAAATAATTGAGTTTTTGTGATAAATATTGTTATTTATGAAAATAATCGAATTTTACAATGAAATTTATTAAAATTCCCGAAAATAATTGAATTTCTACATACGAAGAATTTTATTAAATTTGAAAATAATTGAATTTTTGTGATGAATATTGTTATTTATGAAAATCATTGAATTTTGCAATCAAGATTATTAAAATTCCTGAATATAATTGAATTTCAGCGAAGAATTTTGCTATTTATAAAGATAATTGATATGTTGACGAGGATTTTTTTTTAATTTTTGAAAATAATTATTTTCTGAAAAGAATTTTGATATTTATTAAGATAGTTGAATTTTTTCAAAGAATTGCGTTATAACTTTTAAAATTGAAACTCATTTCAATAGAATTAAAATTTAAATTTAAAAAAAAATACTTTATTAAATGATTTATAAGTAATCACCTTATGGCAGTTCTCCAGTGGAATTAAGTTACTCAAAATAAATTATTGTCAGAAATAGAAAAAATTGAAGGTTTTTTTTACAATTTGTGGTAATTTCATAATTTATGAGGCAAACAAAAAGACACAAAAATGCAGAATTTTCTTATAAATTCTAAACATTTAATTTTTTCCCAGTACTTTTAATAAAAAAAACTCTGACTTTTCCCTGAACAATTCTACTTTTCCTGACTTTTACCAAAATTCCCTGATTTCCCTGACCTGTGGGTAGCTTTGTAGCTTGTTTTTGTTGTCTTTGGAAAAGAGAGTTTTTAAATAAGAATCCCCGAGTCGAACTTTTAGACCTGCTTACCTCCTTAAAACTGAGGATTTGTAAGGATGTAATAGGATGAAAGCAGAGTTTATTTGCATTGCAAGCTAACTCTGATTACCTCCTGCAAACCCCTGGTTAGCGACAAATTTAGATGGTAAAAGGGGGAAAGCAGGTGTTCCTAGAACCTTATTAAATACTGCTTGACCCTGACTTACAGAATTCTTTCCTCTCCAAAAACCCTGGAAAAACTGCTCATAAAATATTTGAGATCATTTTTAACTAATTTTTATAATAACTTTAATTATTAATAAATTGCATTATTATTTAATGATTTTTACTTTTTTTTTTAATTTAATCGTGACCAATAGCGAATTCATAAATAATGTTAGTATATGTGTGGGGATTAATACATATCCATTTATATATAAAAAAAATTTTAATTTAATATTTGTTAATTAAATTATTTAACGGTGTATATAATCATTAAATTGCATACTTATACCTATACAATACAGAAAAATCGGAATAAACGCAAACCTACGAAATAAATAAAATCTAACGCACGCGAGACTTGAACCTACGACCTACGAACTACGGACTACGAAACTAACGCCCTAACCACTTGTTGAGTGATTCAATAAAGCATTAATTGACACTAATACACTACAGCAAATAAATAAATTGTTTAATAATAATAACCATTAAACATTCATAAATTAATATTTTTATTATTTAAAAAAAATGTCAAAACATTTCAGTTAAAAATAATATTTATAAATTAATAATAAAAAAGTACATGTTTCGGTAACCTATTCGCAGTTTGAAGTTAATTGTTGCTTACATTTTGGTTTCTTAATCTTTTTTTAATTTTTCTTTTCAAATATTTTCAATTTTAAAATTAATGTATTGAAAATCTTCGAATTGTTGCAAAGAATTTTATCAAAAAATTTGATAATAATAGAATATTCCTTCAAAGAATTTCTTTATTTAGAAAAATAACTAAATTCTCGCAAAGAATTTTATTAATATTTTTAAAAATCCTAATTAAATTTTTTTGAAAAATTTCTTTGAATTTTTTTTTAAACTAATGGAGTTTCTTTAATAATTTTAATTGAAAATTTCGAAAGCAATTGAATTTTATGAAGAAGAATTTTATTAAAATTGTATTGAAAATAAGTGATTTCTTGCGAAGAATTTATTAAAATTTTAAGAAATAATTAAATTGTTTATGAAGAATTTTATAGAAATATTTAAAAATCATGAAATTTTTTCGAAAAATTCAATTAAAGTTGTTTCGAAAATAATTGAATTTCTTTAAAGAATTTTATTAAAATTAAGTATATTCAAAATAATTGAATTCATCATAAGAATTTTAATTACTTTTCGAAAATAATAGAATTATTTCAATTCTTTTGACGAATATATTCAAAAATTGTATTGAGCTAGTAATTTAATTCTTATATAAAGAATTTTTTTTAAATATTTTGAGAATAATTAAATTGTTTTTCAAAAATTTTAAATTCTTGTTGAAACTAAATTTTATGGGAATTTTTGAAAATAATTAAATTCTTTCGTTTAATTTTATTTTAATTGGGTTAATAATTATTTAATTCTTGCAAAGAGTTTTAGTATTTATAAAAATAGTTGAATTATTTCGAAGAATTTATTAAAGTTTAAGAAAATAATTGCAATTTATGAAAATATTTTAAAATATTTGAATTCATCTAAGGAATTCAATTAAAATTGTTTTGAAAATAATTGAATTCCTGCAAAGAATTTTACTATTTATAAAATTATTTGAATTCTTCGGAAGAATTTTACTATTTATAAAAATAATTGAATTTTTTCGAAGGATTTATTAAAATTTTAGAAAATAATTGAATTCTTTCGTGAAATTTTCAAAATAAAAAATTTTGTAATTTGCAAAACAATAATAAGTTGAATATCTTGTACCGCGCGTAACATTTCCTATTGCGTAAGAATGTGGTAGAAGCAATACAGGGTTTAAGGTTCAATTAGGACTTAAAAAGGAGTTGTCAGAGTTAAATAGAACTTACGCAGGAGGAAAAAAACACCAAGGGTTTGTTAGGTGCAGGTTAGGGTTAAATTATACTTACCAGGAGGTAAGCAGGTCTAAAAGATCGACTCGGGATCATGAACAATTTATGTAAATTTGAAGCAAAGATCTTCTAAAGACGAATAAAATAAAAATACCTGGTGTTTCTAATAATGTTGCTTTTAAAGTGCCAGGTTCCGCTGGTTGAGCAGGACGGGAACCTTCCATTGCAGCCTCGCTAATACTTTCACTTGAAGAATTATTACCAGTATATCTTCTTTGTCTCTTATTCAAAGATTTAGTAATAGTATTGCAATCGGTCGGAAGATTAGCTAGAGCATGAAAAACTTGCCTCTTCCGAATTATTGTGTACACCAAATTGCTGTTACCATCAAACTGATACTGAAAATTGAAATTCATAAGCGAATGCGTTAGCGTTTCTAGGAGAAACTTTATTCTAACTTGTACAGTAAAAAATTCTATTTGAAATTCCAGTTGTTAAATTAAATAACTCCTGTTAAATTTCATTGTTCTCTTAACAAGACTCTTATTTTTTTAACAGACTTACCTGGATAATGTTATTAAAAATTTCCAGTAAGAAAAATATTAAATGGTGATTTGAAGGTGCCGAAAAGAGGAACCATGGAGTGCTAAATGCCTCCAATAAATGCAGCAACTTTGTACTAGCAACCATTGATAGTGTTTTCAAATAAGGTGAAACGTTGACTAGTATCGTCAGTAAACAGTCGAACAAAGGTTGCAGTCTTTGATGACCGGTAGTGATTATTTTATGAAAGACTGTGATTAGTAGATCAGCATGTGTACCTATAGACAACATTTTTTTCTCTTAATATTCCTAATAGTGGTACTTTAATAAAAGAGTTTTAGTACTGGCGATAATTGTGCTACATCTACTTTTTTAATGACTGTTAAACAACTTTTTACTCAAAAAAGTAATAACCAAAATTTTTTCACTTTCATTTTTAATAAACTGATAAAATTCTGAAAAAATGACAAAAAAATGTTAATTTTTCAATCATATATTTGGGGCGAAATTTCTGAAGTGGACCACCTTAAAAAAAAGTTGTGGGATTGATTTGGTATTTGGGTAATTTGTTCTCCTATATAAGAGTAACAAATTCCCAAAATATTAAAATATTTGAAAAAAATTGTAGAAAGTAGGGGGGGGGGTAAAACTTTCACATTTTAGAGAACATTGACATTTTGAAATCCCTATTATAAGTTAAATAAAACTTTATGGATTTTAATTTGTGAATAACGGATTTTAAAGCATTTTTCATGTACTTTCTGATGCTTTCAATAAAATTTTCAAAAAAAAATGTTTAACTTCTTTTTTTCAAAAATAATTTTTATTTTTTATTTTTGACTGCTTTGGGTATTTTTTTTTAAATAATTTCATCAGAAAGCTGAGGTTTTTTTCAATGAGCCATGTAATTTTTAGAGTGGGACAGAAAATAGTTTAAAAGAAATTTAATAACAATGTAGACGTTGCGCGCGCGCGGCACGCGCTTTTGGTGCACCCGTCGGACCTGCGAGTTCTGACTGCACCTAAGTAATTCAGTAATAGCTCTCTGCATTCTTCAGGGTTTAGACTGTCATTATACAATAATGCCTGCATTACTGTTACTAAAAAAAATTTAGAATAACCTGTTTTGAAAATTGATTAAAATTAAAAATTATTACACTATTACTAGCTGCAAAATACTTTTTTATTTAATTGTCACGAGAAAAGATTCAATAATAAATTTCTAATAGAAATAAATAAATGTAAAGAAATATTTATGGTGAATTTAAGTAGGGTCATTTGGGGTAAATGTAAACAAGGGGTAAATGTAAACAGTAGATGCTTCAGCTAAATTTACAAATTAAAAAATAAGTACGACGTCAATATTTTTACCTCAGCTCACCTACAAGATGTTCTAAGTATTGCCAATATTTTATTTTGACAATTGGCAATGCCATAGTATAAGTTATCTTTTAATGCAAAAAACATTGAAAATCAAAATTTTACTGTTTCATTATTTTGTCTCGCATTTGCATAAAAATTAATTAAAAAATTAAACAAAAATATGTAATTCTTCCTTATTAATGCCCTAACAAAAATTGACTTTGATTTTTGATTTTCGTCAATTTAGTTAATAAATAATTAAGTATTTACATTTACCCCGAGAATTCGAAAACTCGGGGTAAATGTAAACAGAACTTCAACTACATTTTAAAAGAAAATAATTGAATAAATTTGCTTCTATTTCACAATTTTATTAATTTGGCAATTTAAAATTACATAGAAAAGAAAATTAGGTCCTCTTTGAAAAAAAAATTTGATAAAAAAAATAATTTTTTTTTTGAAAATTTGATCAATTTTTAAAAATATTATTTTTAGGTTCATCCGCCATATTGGATCCACCATTTTGAAATTTAAAAATTCGATTTTAGATTCTTATTCAGCAACCTTAAAAACTTCTTTTTACCAAGTTAAATGAAAATCAATTAAAATTTGTTCAAGTTATTCAAGTTTTTACATTACTAGTTTTGTAATGGTTAATTGTTTATTTTATATGATACATTATCAGTCAACTGGTTGATTTACTATACATCTACGAAGAATTTTTATCAGTTTTTCCATCCCTTAAAACAGTAGTATACGCTTAACTACAGTGGTGTTTACATTTACCCCGAATTTTAGGAAAATTTCAAAATCTCGGGGTGAATGTAAACAGTCAGTTTTAGGCCATTCAGGTGCATCAATATTTTTTTTAACCTCAAAAAATTTTTCTAGGGAACTCTAGTAACAAGTTCATACAAAAAAATCCGTCCGTTTTACCTTTCAACAAAAAAAACTAATGTTTTTCGTAAAAAATAGATATTCCGTTTACATTTACCCCAATTAACCCTAATATTCCATACTAAAAATTTTCATGAGAGTACAAAAAAATAATAAATAATTTTGAAAGTTTTATGCTTTTGGTTTTTTCTTCCAAAAAGAATAAGAAAATTTTCTACAAAAATTGTGATTATAAAATAGTAATTATGCAAATATTTTTCTTTAACAATTTTTAACAAAACTTTTTTTTATTCAAAAGAAATGAAATAAATTTGTATTAACTCATCTATATGTTAATTACAATTTTTGTTACAAAATTTTAATTTGTTTTTTAAAAAAAAAATTAATAATATTTTGTTTTTAGTAAAATAATAATTAATAAATAAATTCAATAAATATTTTTTTCAAGTGATTAAAATTTTTTTTTTAATTTATTATAAAATAATTATAATATAATCTATAAAAGCTTAACGACAAACAAAAATATTCACAAACTACAACTTCAGATGTAGACAGAAAGAGAGAATACCACGATTATTATAATTAATAATTATGTAAATAAAAAAAATGTTAAGTTGAATTTCTAATTATTATGTTACTAAAAACAAAAGATTATTACTTTTTTCCTTTTTAAAAAACAATTTAAAATTTTGTAACAAAAATTGTAATTAACATATAGATGAGTTAATACAAATTTATTTTATTTCTTTTGAATAAAAAAAAGTTTTGTTAAAAATTGTTGAAGAAAAATATTTGCATAATAATTCCTATTTTATAATCACAATTTTCGTAGAAAATTTTCTTATTCTTTTTGGAAGAAAAAACCAAAAGCATAAAACTTTCAAAATTATTTATTATTTTTTTGTACTCACATGAAACTTTTTAGTATGGAATATTACTTAAATTCACCATAAATATTTCTTTATATTTATTTATTTCTATTAGAAATAAATTATTGAATCTTTCCTCGTGACAATTAAATAAAAAAGTATTTTTCAGCTAGTAATAGTGTAATAATTTTTAATTTTAATCAATTTTCAAAACAGGTTATTCTAAATTTTTTTTAGTAACATAGTAATGCAGACATTATTGTATAATGACAGTCTCAACCCTGAAGAATGCAGAGAGCTATTACTGAATTACTTAGGTGCAGTCAGAACCCGCAGATCCGACGGGTGCACCAAAAGCGCGTGCCGCGCGCGCGCAACGTCTACATTGTTATTAAATTTCTTTTAAACTATTTTCTGTCCCACTCTAAAAATTACATGGCTCATTGGAAAAAACCTCAGCTTTCCGATGAAATTATTTAAAAAGAAAAAAAAATACCCAAAGCAGTCAAAAATCGAAAATAAAAATTATTTTTGAAAAAAAGTAGTTAAAAATTTTTTTTTGAAAATTTTATTGAAAGCATCAGAAAGTACATGAAAAATGCTTTAAAATCCGTTATTCACAAATTAAAATCCATAAAGTTTTATTCAACTTATAGGGATTTCAAAATGTCAATGTTCTCTAAAATGTGAAAGTTTTACCCCCCCCCCCTACTTTCTACAATTTTTTTTTAAATATTTTAATATTTTGGAAATTTGTTACTCTTATATAGGAGAACAGATTACCGAAATACCAAATCAATCCCACAACTTTTTTTAAGGTGGTTCACTTCAGAAATTTCGCCCCATTTAATAAAACCCCCATTTTCAGTGATTTGCCTAATTTATATTTATATCTTCCGAAGAAATTAAGATTTTTTAAGGATTTATTTTTAACCTGTAAAAAAAGTATTCAACAGGTGTTTTTGTTTTTTAGAATAGAAAACAGTTTAAAGTAATTAACTGAGAGGTTATAATTATTAATATTATGTAATAATAATCGAGATAATCTGTTCTCACGTGAAGTTAGTGTTTTTTGATTCCAAATTGTTTTATAGTTCGAATTGTTATGTCAAAAGTTTGACAGTGAATTTGTAAATTATAAAAAAATGAAGTAAGAAAATTTAACCTAAACTTCAAAAACTCAATACAGTTGCAATTTTTAAAAATAATGAATTTATTTTATGAATTCTTTATTTTTGTACTTAAATAATTGAATTGCTGTAAAAGTATAATAATAAATTAAATATAAAAAATTATTAATTTGTTAGCTTTCTTAAAAATTAATAAAAGTTTTGAATAATATTATGTATTCAAAAATTCTAAAAGTTAATTAACTCTCGGAGAACACATGGGGTCTTTTAGACTCCACTTTTTTACGAAAAGTTTTTTATCCATTTTTTAATATTTTTAAAAAGGATTTTTAAGTATACAGACTTATTTTACAGAGTTTAAACTATATTTAAAAAAATTCTTCAGTTTGATCTGATGAACTAAAAAATGCTTTAAAAATTATCTAAAAAAGAGGAGTTGTCTCCGAGGGTTAAATTTTGATAGACTTGCAGTTCAAATTATGATAAAAAAATTTTCAAATAGTTTTAGATTGAAATTATTTTAAAATTTTAAGCAAATATAGAACAATAAGTATTTAAATATTTATTTTACAAATATCATTGAAATTTAAAAGATTTAATTTGGAAATACTGAAAACAATCATGTTTTTGAAAAATAGTAATTAAAATTTTTTCAAGATATACTTCAATACCCGAAAATAAATTTTAAAAAATTGAAACAAATTGGAAATTTTGTAAAATTTTATATTTTAGAGTTTTATTTTTTCATCTTTAAAAATTATCTATAAATATAATTGTATTTTTAAAAAACATTTTAGAAATGTTAAGAAAAAAAAAATTTTTTTTATTTATTTTTTTTGTGTTTTTTTGATAATTTCTCGAATTTACAAAAATTATTCTAATTAAATAATTCAATTCCAGTAGTTGAATAATTATAAGAATTGATTAAAAAAATTTCATTTAAAATTTTAGAAAATAATTGAATATTTAAAGAGTTATAAAACAAATTTTAAGAATTAATTAAAATATTTTTAAATTAAA